ATTAACTTATTATTGAAGCCAAGTCCTCAAGACATTTTTTGGTCTAACTTGATGGCTCGTATGGGACTTATTGTTCTTCTCTATGTTTTTGGTGATAATGTAGAAATATACCAATGCCTGAAACACACTTAACAAAAATTGCATCCTTTTTCATGCTAAAAACATCAATTAAAGAATTACATTGTGTCTTTCCCTTCTTCATTTTTTGTCAGTCACCCCTCCATCTAGTGTATGTTGTGTGTACTTTCTGCCATGGTTGCCATACACTTGAGTGATTGTGTGCTGTCACCTGAGTCCAAGTTGTCTCACTTTAGTCTCTTTACCCCCAGTGTTGTCTCGATTTACAGTCTGCATTGACATGTAACATCTATGCCTGAAGCTCTACATTTTCAGAATGTAAAGTGTTATGGTTTCCATTTGTGTAATGTTAGCAGTAGGGCCCGATTTTAGCCAATTTTAGCCCTTTTGAGATTTATTGGTAATCGGCCAAAACTCGCAGATTTTCGCAGATATTTTCAGAAATAAAATACGGAGAATGCGGAGAGGTTTCACTTCGAAAATGTTCCGCCATTTGAAAAGTTCCCTGACTTATCCTGTAGATGGTGCAGCGACCTCATGACAATTTTCATCCACTAACTACCTCACAGCACAGCAGAGTGACGGATCCGAAGCAGGCAGCTCAGTGACACACGGAGGAGAGTGGTCCGCCTCAATGGTAAACCAGTTAAATACACAATAAGTCAACAAGTTTCAGTTCAACCCACTTCACAATGCTCCCCGATGTGCTGGTCTCGGTTAATGGTGAAGCACCATGTAATATGCAAGCTAAAGTTAGAGTTAGCCATCTGCTATTAGCCTTGCTACACTGTTAGCCGTGCCAGTAACAGTACAATAAACAACAGTACACATTACGTGATCGAGCTACTTCTCTTACTGAGGCAGCCGCATGTCACCAGATGAGACCGGACTGGAAATGTGTAATGTGAGTTAAGACGTGGAGGCACTGATCGGCGGCGGGCGGCGGGGCTCAGATTCCTCCACACTCATGCCTGTTGGCATGAAAAGCAGTAACCTACAGTATGTAGTATACTGTAGATATCTACAGTATATATGTATTTTTTATAACTTCCTAAAAAATTAAAAAAATCGCCCAATAATCGATATCAGCATCGGCCACAAAAAATCCATATCGGTTGGACCAACTTTGGTGATAGCAAGAAAAAAGTCTGTGTGGTGAGCAAAAGCAGGCAGAACACACACCCCTATCTTGGCTGATGAGAGCCAGAGTGTAAGCCACTGCCTACTGTTGAACTGGGATCTGCTTAAATAAATGAACTGGTGGTTCTCTGTGGAATGTAATCGACCAAAAATGATGGTCTTAACAGTTCAGACACAAACGCCTGACAGAGGAAGAAATCTTGACTGGAAGTCACTGACCCCTGACTGCTGGCTAAAGTTGACATCTGTTCCCAGAGGCACATATTGCATGGTGTTGTCAGATGATGATAAGGCATTACTGCTTAAGGGTCCCAAGATAGTGCCTACTGCTGAACTGAGACTTACTTGAAACAGGGGCTTTTCCAGGATGTGTAATGGACCAAAAGTGATGCGTTCTTACTGCACGTCACACGTTAAAAGAAGTCACTGAATGCTAACCAGTTACTTAAGTTGGTATTCAACAGTTCATGCACATTATCGTGATAGACAATGATTGCTGGTGGGTTCTGAGATTGCCCCAAATGCCGTTATATTTTTTCCATTTTATCTTCTTCTTGTTAATTAGGTGTAAAAGTCAAAGTACTTTATTAGAAATGCATTCACAATACTAAATAGTACTGGATGATGGGGTTGTATTGACAATGAGATCCCTCCTTTTTGTGTGATACCAAATTAAAACTGGATATGAATCGCAAACCAGGTTGTTAAATATTAAACAACTTCAGTACATTAAGCAACAACAAATGCTGGATGTAATTAGGAGCCATTAATCTACCAGTGCCTCAGAGCATTTATACTGAACATGTATTAAGTAATTCATCAGAAAACTATCTGAACAGCTTAATTAAAGTATAGTTATTTCAAACAAGGCCAACAAGTAGAGACTAAAGTGAAACACTAACCAATTATCATTATATAAGGGAAATAATGAAACGGTATAATATCAAACTGAAATTATTTCCACTTTTCAAATACTTATGTCTTTCCTGGTGTGTGTGTCCATGTTTTGACCATTCACTCTGTTCCTGCAGTTGAGCAGAAAATGGTTGTTAAGTAGAGTTCTTCCTGAGGCAGGAGGGCCAGTATAAAGTATGAGGGGAGCTTTCTGATATGGGGATATGAGTGTAGTAAATGCATCACATTTGAGCCAGTGCCAAGGTATCCATCCATCTCTGCTGTATTTTGTGACCTCTATAGAGGAGAAGAAATCCGCTACCTCTGATAAATGTTGTAAGACTTGCTCCAGCCTATTTTCTGCCATCTGGTAGAGTTGTTGTCTCCCGTAAAGAGAGAAATGAACACACATTAGCACATATTAAATACTTCTATGTGTTAGAGACGAGAACGGCCATGGATTTTTCTTTTTCTATGCAATATTATCTCATGATTTGTAGTGATTTGCACTACATGTGATTGGACTACCTTTACACTGTACTGTGACGCTGCACTGTTGCACACTTTGTACATAGTATTCTATTTTTATTCTATTTTTTATTTTGTACTATTTTATTTCATATTTTATTCTATTTTTTATTACTTCACTTAGGAAAACACCACTCCGAGCTGTTTTTAATTTCGTTGTATGCCTCATACAATGACAATAAAAAGTCTGAGTCTGAGTCTGAGAACAACTTATTATCTCGCTATCTCGATATAACAAACTTCATTTTCTTGTGATAACAAATTATTTTATTTTCGTTATCTCGACATTACGAGGATTGTTTTCTTGTGTTAACAAATTAATTAATAATGTGTTGGCCATTGTTGCAGTTGTTGTCCGATTCGTGCATTGCCGCTAAATGTTCCCATGTTGGAAGTGTAACGCCCATGCGTGGAGCGTAATGTCAGCATTTTCACTGAAAACCCCGACTTACTGTTGACAATGGTGTTTCAGAAATATCCCACTCTGGGGGGGCGTCTTTAAAAGTTATCGTTTTAAATAACTAAGTTGTTATCATGAGATAACAGTGCATTAAAAAAAATCAGTCTTGTTCATAAAGATTCCTGGAGCTATGAACAAGACAGCTTTAACTAGTCTCAATGCATCACAAAACACAACTCTTTTGACTTTAGCACGATATAAAATTCCAATTGGAAGTCCTTTTTCATCTTGATTTGCGTAGATTGCTTACAGACCACCCTCTATATGAGACCATGGATCAACTTAAAAAATAAAAATAAAACTGGTCAAATGTCCACCTATCTTCTATTCTGCAGCTTTATTCTGAACCACTTTTCATTGATTTAACACCAGTCTGATGGTTTTTCATGACATGCTTCAAAGACATGACAGCTAGCTCAGCTGTGATGCTACTCTGTTACATGTGCTTTGGACAGCGCTGGCAGCAGACGATAATTATAGGGTTTAGATCTTCATTTAAAAGGGGAAAACTCCAGGCTAACAAATCCCTTTGTTGGACTGTAGGACAGGACTTACTCACTACATGACAAAAGGCTAGAGGATTTTCACTAGTATTGTGAACTCACTATAGAACTGGGCTATGTTTTAACCTTGTCAAATCAAGTACTTCAGCTTCTGTCAAACACCAATTACCATTTCTGTTTGGAGTGGTTTAGTCTTGTGCTTGCTGATACAAGCGCTGCCGTGCATGAATGACATTTACACAAAGCCTTTAGCTAAACTAAGGAACCGACATTAGCATACTAACTTATTAACAGAGCAAACATGATAAACTCCTCTCTCTGCATGTTTGCACAGGTTTGGTGTTGGATTTTTTTTCCAGATTGAAACTCCACCAATGGTTCCACATGATGGAATAGTTTGAAGATGTTACACCGGTTGAACTATTGATTTAGATTTAACTAGCCTTGCACTTCCCAGGAGCCCTTTTGTTAGTACCTCTATGTACTCAGAGGGATAGATGTAAGGGTGTACACAACTGGGTATGCAGCAGCTTTTGTGTATTTCTTTGGTTTGTGTGTTTAAAAAGTTTGCCTTATTTGAAATAAACTTAACATCCGTTCTCTCACCTCATGCTCTTTCACTCTCCGGGGACAAATTTCTGTTTTTCTTCTTATTACTATTATGTACTTTCTAAGGGCCTTTTCTGTTTAAGGATTAACAGCAAATGTGTTTACAGTAAGATTAGCTATCCTGTCACTTTTACTCCCTGTGATTTAGTGGCTTAGTCTGGTTGTGTGGGTATTTGTGTGAGTTTTCATAATGGCCTGTTGTTGTGTGTGTTGGTTCTTAGGAGAGGGTTAAGGTGATTTAGTGGCTGTGGAGCAGAATGCAGACCAGCCAAAGCAAGCAGGGGCACAGACAATCCTAAAGTGGTGACACTATATGATAACTGTTTAGTCACTGCCTTGTACCTTGCTATTGCACAGCTTTTCAGAGGAAGCACAACACTGCTTTGGTTTAGGTGCCTGAACATTGGAAGGGAAGGAGTAAAGCCTCCTTTTCTCCTGGAGGAGGAACAGGGGGCAAAGTGGAAAGAGGCCAGCATGATTGAGAGATAACAGCAGTGACCCTGAGTTAATTGGCAATTAGCGCGCTGCCAGCATCATTGTAATAATTAGGATTCTTCTTACTCTCATGTAGCTGTGTACATTTTTGCCTGTGTCAGGTCTATGTCTATGACAAGTTTACATACGTGAGGTCAGTCTTTCACCTCCTTTCATGACCTTCTTTGTTTTCCTTTCTCTGTGGAACTCACTGGTTTTCTTGTATTACTTCAATTATACTATTTTTCTCAACCACAGCAACAGCATGGGGATGTAAGATAATTGTGAGTGGGGCTAGAGGCAGTTTAAAGATCCATTCCGATGAAAATTGTGTTTTTCTTGTTTTTTTTTATATGTTCATATGGCATTTTTTCTGATGCTAGAGGACATACCATGAGAAAACTAAATGTGAAATTACTTTCCTGGGTATTTCTTCATTCAAGTCGCTGTGAATCTCCGGCAGACTCAAACTAAAGGTTCAGAAACAGTGACATATCATACGTAACCAATCCAAGCGGTTTCTCCGCCCACGACTCAGAGGCAATTGCTAATGAGCTACTATGAGCCCTCGAAAACGACACAGGTCACATGATTTTTGGTTAAAACTTCATGATCACAATTGAAAGACCACTGAGAACAATTCAAGTAGTAAAAACAAACAAACAAACAAAAAAACCCCGATCTGAGCAGGACTTTAAACACTTGAGAAATGAAGCCACTGATACGTACAAAAAAAAACTGCAGTTCCTTAAGTGGCCACTGGAAGCTGTCTCTAAAGCAGTCAATCTTCATAAAGACCCAAGAAAAACCTTGGAGCAAAACTGAACATATTTCTATCTTGTTGTTTTAGCTAACTTTAAATTTCATGACAGCTGTACCAATGTACTAACAGAAATGTAAGACTGAAATGAAAAATATTAGATGAGCAATTACAATATTTAATATCGTGGTAACAATCTGGGAACACTTGCAATCATGCTATGGGAAATTTAGGGTCACTGATAATCTAAAAATCTTGTCTTTAGACTGAGATAGAGCCAGAGATCCTAGAAGGAACACAGAAATGTTGTCTGAATGAGAATTAATATATACACAGTAGCACCTATAGCTCTGCCAACATGAGCTACTCTCCGTAAACCAATTTGACATTGTTTACCTGCAGTCCCATTGATTCAGGATTCATCCATGTCAAACAAACTGTGCTCAATTTAGATTCTTTCCAACATGTTTTTGTTTTTTCTCAGAAAAGTTGGTTTGTCAGAGTTGAAATTTCCGTTTACACACATGAAATGTGTTGCTTCTGCACACCCCTGCTGTGAAGCATAGACAGTAACACAAAACCTCCATCAAAGTGGCAAAATGCACACATGCTGTGGGAGGAAGCAGTGCTTGTTAGCTCAATTATAGTTGTAGATTTATTGGGATGAATGCCGACTTCTGCAATGTGTTTATTGGGAATGCTCTTACTGGGGTAATGACATAAATACAGTAAATTGGAGGTTGGACCAGCTTCTGGGGATCAGTGTATCATTTTGTCCACAACTTCCATATTTCGTCGCATAAATTAGATGCTCTCTGCAGCAAACTCCATTTTCTTCTTCTTTGGCAGTATGGTCGGAGTTACCACCATGTTGGTTTAATACTGTTATTGCAGTTAAAAATGACCATTTTCACAGAGTGCTGTCTTCAGAAATGGTGTACTGATCTTGTGAGACAACTTTTCACTCCAATAAGTCTTAAAGGGATATTCCGGCGTTAAATTAAGTTAGGGTCAAGCACACTGTAACACCAAGTTAGACACCCCCTTAAGAGATGAATGTTGCCAACCGCTTGCTTCTCTAGTTATACCAACTTTAGTAACGACCACAGAATAGCAATACACAGTGGTCTGAGGAGCCACACACAAACCTCAACCAAAACACCACTCTATAGCCACAAATAATGCTCAGAACAGCACCTAACTTCATCAACAGTACATATAGGGTCCCAGCCATAGTACAAGCCACCAAACATCTTATTAACTTTGCCTGATTTCTTTAGCAAAAAGGCTAAAAACAACACACCCACTCTCTTCCATCAGCCGCTTCTTTGTATGGAGACCTTGGACCAATCCATCACCAACTGCAGTGGGGTGACGCAGCTCAAGGAAGAACATTTTATATAGGTCTCCTGGCACAGATTTTTGTCACATCCCTAATCTTCAACAAGACTGATGTTGGTCTCACTCAAAGAGAAGAAGACAAGTTGTGATTTGAAGAAATCCTATTTTAAGTTATTGGGTACAGCTGCTCACCTGCCACTCTCTGCCTGGAAAATCTGAGAGTCTGATATGCACCACAAGCACTCTTGGCTTCTTTGGTTTCTAATGAATAAACAGATTTTATCAGTAACAAAATTGAACCTCATTCTGATCACGAGTTTCTTCACCTGCTCGTGAAAGAGCCATGACTGCTGAGCAAACGGCAGTGAAGAGGCCAAGGTGAAGTCAAATGACTGCATCTGATTTAACTGTGTTAAAGGTTACAGTGATGAAAAAGGCTGTTTCATTTGAAAAACACAACAGGTCGTACGGTGTTTGTTATTTTTAACATGGAAGGCGCAAAAGCTAAAATTGGTACCTTGGAAATTGCTGGCCCTATCCATTACTGTAATGCTGTTAGTGGTCATTACAAACTAAAGAGAGAGCATAAGTGCAGGTGAGCACTTGCTCTCTGCAGGTGGTGCATATCCATGCATCTGTGTGTGAAGCTGACATTTTTCCTGATTGCAGCAGGTTATTTTTTTCACCTTGCAGTGAAAGTGAGAGAGGGATAAAAAAAGAGAAGGAGATAAGGAAAGGAAAGGTAGAAAAGGAGCAAGGTGCCTCCACTTTGAAATCCATCTTCCCAAGGATTGATTCCCTACTGAGACCCTCAGGCTTTGTCCTTCTTTCAGCCCCCTTTGTGTGCACATACTGTGCATGTGTGTGTGTTTCAGGTAAGGAAGGAGTCAGAGGTTTTTCAGTCTAGCTATCAGCCACTGGTGTCAGTCTGGTCTCCTATCGCCCTTCCCTCGCTCCCTCCATCTCACCACCCCCCTCTTCCCCCTAAACCCTGTCAGAGGGCCCCTCAGGACAGTCCATGAACCTTTAAGTCTAGTGTGTTATTGAGGCCTGAGCTCAAAGCTTAGCCTGTGCCAAAAACAGACAAGACGACAAAAATAAAAGCACAACTGCCCCGTCAGAATTTGAAGTCCAAATCCACAAGTCCACCCGAGCTTCAGATAAAGATATTGCCCTTTCCGTTCTCTGAAAATAGCACACAAACACGGCCTCCCAGGGGCAGTGTTGTTACTTTATGTTCTGACAGTTCGGGAGAACTTATAATTTTGCTGTTTATTTGAACATTTAATTCCTCACTTCTCCCTGGTACACTTGTCTGCCTTTATATATCTGACTCTTTGAGATGGCTTAAAAACAGCTGCCACTGTAATTGCTCGGAGCACAACTTAAGCGTATATTGAGCAGGTAGTCACTCTCTCTTCAACTGCTTTAAATTAGTGGCATTTCATACCCTGTGCTTTATAATAGAGACTTAGCACAGATGTATGCAATTATGAAAGGCTTAATTTTTCAACTGCCACGCTGTTTCTCAGCTTATCTCCTTTCAAAGGATGCTATTTCAGAGAAGTTTGGCTATTCTGATGTCTGGTTAATGTCATAGCTATCTGCAGTTTCTAGTCAACATCCTGAAAGGATTTAGCAGTCCCTGAATCGAGACAAAGTCCTAATGTATTGTGAGTGTTTTGTCACAACTTACCACTGGCATGTGGTGATAAGGTGTCTTTTGTAATACTATTTAAATGTTCTTTCACTCAGAAATACATACAAACTTATCCACATTTATCATTATGCTCCAAAACAGCTGCCAAGTCTTGAAGTTCAAGTATAAACACATATTCTCTTTTCTATATCTTTAATAAGGCAGATCTGCCCTCGGCAATGCTCTCAAGCAAAATTGCAAAAAAAAATGTTCCTTAGCACTACGTAAACACTCTTTATAAACATTTACTGAATTGTTTCACTTGTTTACCTGCATCTTTTATCTTTAATTTCTCCACTTTACAGACCTTTTTTTAGCTTCTTTGACTGTGTTGATAAAATGTTGCCTCTCTTTTATGCTGTATCGTTTAAGTATTCTGAAAACTTTCTGACAAGTCCCTGAAAATATGCCATTTGGACATATACAACCCTTGAAGTGATATTACATTGTACAAAGAAAGAGGAAAAAGGACTGAAAATGTATTTTTATGCTCCAAAGCCTCTTATGGTGAGTGGACTGGAAGTGTCGAAATTTTTCTATTTCACCTTACGACTCCATTCATGTTTTTTTCCAAACACCTAAATTTCTGCTGTATCCTCTTACAAGGCCTTACACTGATCCAATCTGTAGGTAATAAACATTCAAGAAAGGGAGGTTAAAAAAACAGCCGGAAAGTTTATGATGCTTTAAAGTGGTGAAGAATTGGGTCTTCAAGATACAAGATACCAATGAGAATTTTATCAGCTAGTTTAAAGGGAAAAGGTTGGTGACATCCCAAACACTCATTCCCAACCATGACCCTCTACCACTCTTACAAACTTTTGCAGCATCACTGATTATACTCATCTCACAGGGGTCTCCTCAGGCGATGGTTTGGAACCACTGTTCTCCATTCAACCTCACCAGAGACTTGATTGTACTCCAGTTCAAAACCGTGTCTTCTCTCAGCTGTAACTGAGATTTTTTTTTTTTTATGGTTGCTTTGGCTCTCCTGGTTCTCTATTCTGCTCTTATATCTGATCAGGAATCTTCCAGCAGCTTTTATTCCCCTTGCTCGAGCCCGCACTGGCACCTGGAAAGCGTTCACTTTCTATAGGATGAGAAACCGAGGCGATTCTTTATTGATCTTGAAGGGAACACACAGAGGTTGGATCGCAGCAGGACACAGAGCACAAAGTTAGAGGGGATTTCATGTTCTTTGTGAAGGACACTTGAGAAAGATGGAAGCAGGGTTTTAGGGCATGTAGTTACACACTTTTTCTCTCAAAGCCATTCTGTTACCTTGAATCTCTAGATGTGCCCTACAAGGCTTTTTAACATCTTGACTCCAGCAAGTTCTGTACCACAAACTCTTCAGTTTAGAGCCCAGACACGACTCATTTCATTCAGCATTTAAAAACACTGACATTATGTTGATAATCTACCACACTGGCTGCTTTAACATACATAATCATAGGTTTCAGTCATATGAATGTTTTGCTGTAGCTGCCATCTTTCGGGTCATATAGCAGGTCCTTTTTTGGGTTACTGTTGCTTTAGCCCACAGCTTTGATGGAGGATTATGGCCACACTAAATGTAAGGAAATGAGATTTCCAGAATAAACGTGAAGAGGTGAAAGTTAATGATAATTAAGTGGTGAGAAATTAGAAGCTATGGCTAATCTATGTAAATTAAGGGGGATCTTGTGAAATCAAACTCAACAGCTGGGGACAAAGAGCGGTTGCACAGGTGTTCACAGGCTGTCAATTAGCCTGCTCATCTTCATATTAAACTCCCTCAATTTACACAAAACCTTGATTCTTAGAGTAATACTGTTGCACTGACAGATTTAGCATTAAGCATTTTTTTTTTTTTAGGGAAACCTTTACAAAAGTTGAACTTAACAAGACGCTTCATAATCCTCATATTAGCTGTGAAGGCTGGGTGCCTTTCTGATTTTCCCCTTCAGGCTGAACTCTGAGTAAATCCTCTTTTTTCTCATAATCTTACAAATTTAATGCTGTAATTATGTGACCTTATTCTGGAAAACCCATTTTCCCCTATCAGGTTGTTTAATAGTACGGTAACACTTTATTTGATGCTTATCTCTATAACGCATTATAAATATACTGTATGTATAATGTGTTATAATCACATTATAGTAGGGATGCACGATATTTATCGGACCGATAGAATATCGGCCGATTTGAGGGAAAATTACGTCATTTTTTATCGGTCCGATAGGTGCCTTTTTTCCGATAGAAAGAGCCGATATATTATTGAAATTACGAGTAACGTTTGCAGGCGGAGTAGCCGCCCGTTGCGCCTTACTCGCAGGTCCCAAGCCTGACCCCTGTCACTACCTGACTGATAATAAAATGTCTTCACCAGCATGGTCGTTTTTCTCAGTGGCAGAAGATGACAACAGCTGCTATATGCAAAACCTGTTCAGCGAGGATTCCGGGAGGCGGAATGAAGACGTCAAGTTTTAACACAACGAATCTGATAGCTCATCTGAAAAGTCGCCATCGCGGCGAAGCAGTATTAAAAGACTATGAGACAGCCGCCGAAGCTGCTAGCGGTACTAAAGCTAAGACAACAACACTACGGAGGATCAATGTCCCCATTCAGCAGGCGTTTGAAAACTGCAAAAGCTTCTCAAGAGACAGCGAAAAGGCTAAGGCCATTAACGACAAAGTGATGGAGTTCATAGCGGTCGACGACCAGCCTTTTTCCGTCGTTGAGAACCCGGGTTTTCGTAAGTTATTAGCACACTTGGAGCCACGTTACACTCTCCCAAGCCGCCGCTTCTTCTCGGATGTGTCCCTTCCTGCACTCTATGATATTGTCGCCACATACATTCACAACCTGATCGACAACAACGGACTACACGTGAGTTTTACCACAGACATATGGACGTCAGATGTTAGTCCGGTCAGCATGCTAATCCTAACGTCTCATAATAGCTCCTTTACAGTCTACAGTTCTGTTGAACAGTTCAGGGGATGCACTGTTTTGGTCAAATGAAGTTCTGCTTTTTGCTCTGTTATTGTTATTTATAGCTAATGACCACATATTTTTGTGATGACATGGAAAAAATAAACATTTGAAGAGCCAAAAACTTTAGTTTGTTGTTCTAGATAGGCCAGAGCAACAAAAATATCAGTTTTCAATCACTGCATCCTGCACAAACTGCAGATTATATGAAGATTATAATAAATGTAAAAATATGAATTTATGGGTTATCGGTATCGGCCATGAGAAGAAGAAAATTATCGGTTATCGGTATCGGTTGAAATTTTTCATATCGTGCATCACTACATTATAGCACTGTATAACTATATTTATAAACACTCATAAATGATCATAATGCTTTATAGCAATAATCATAACACACTGTAAAGCATTATATCATGACTTACAAGATCAAGTATTATAATGTATTAAAGCATGTAAAGCATTATGATTATTTATGAGTGTTTATAACTATAGTTATAAAGTGCTATAACATGGTTATAACACATTATACATATATTTATAATGATAGGCGTCACATTAAGTGTTACCATTATTACAGTAAACCAGTAAATAGTGTTGTGTTGGTTTTTCTGAGGTGGAGCTGTCCACTCCATTGTGGTGCTAATATCGCTTTTTGCTTCCTTTGTCTGCGTGACAGGTCAGCTACACTCCAAAATATAAATCAAATCCAAATTTTCAATAATTGTTTTGGCTTTGTTGTGCTATAATTCCTGAGAAGGTCAGTTATAATTTCAAGGGTTTGAACAACTGTCAGGAGTGAAACACTAATCAAAATCTTTTGAAAAACACAAACAGTGAAAATTTTCAGAGACCTTTGGGGAAAATGTTTTTCCGCGAGAGTCAGGGGAGCAGCATGTAGCAGGATGGATAAAAAACAACCAAGCTTGAAAGAGAAGATGGACAAGAGGATGTCTACAGATCAATCCAGGACAAGATACACCAATGTCTGAATTTAATTACGGACATTTACCTTACATTGCAGATTCTTGCATCCACACAAGTATGGGTGCAAAACTGCAAACTGTGTGCAGCATACAGTTGGATCTATCCTGTTACCAACCCTAAAATTATATGCAATATAAGAGAAACTCTGTGAAAGTAGTCTCTAGCTCTCGATGTGTGTTCAGACTTCTGCTCACCCACACCTTTACTCTTACTAAGTAATTGATGGTGAACTTGTGGGTGGCAAACCTTGCTTATAGGGAGAGGCGGGAGACATGAGGTGAGCCGGGTTATACACAAAGAAAGATGTTTTGAAGGAGCTTAAGAATTTCAAGCCAGTTGATAGGGAAAAGAAGAAAAAAAAACATCTTCAGTTTCTTTTTTTTTTCCAGGGGAGAGCAGAAAAGACTATCAAAGAACTCAGGCTTGTAGCGAGAGAGGCTGAAGAGATGGCTTCACTTAACCATTACAGCCTACTTAACGGGATAAAACAAGGACATAGAAACTCTGATATAATGACATAAAACAAAACATCTTTAGTCCCGGTTGTTTGTCTCGCTCAGCCCTCTGAAGACAGCACCTGTAGCAGCCTTACATCACTCCGAGGATGAGGAGAGAACAGCAAGACACAGAGATATGAGCTAGCTAGAGGAGAAGAAATGTAAAGCAGGGGTGAAGTGAGGCGAGAGTGTGGAGAAAATAAGGCGCAAGAGAGAGGGAGAGAGAGAGGGAGGTTTGCTGGAGGATTAAAAAAAGAGGAGCTCGAGGGGAGAAAAGTTAAGGTTAGAATGCAAAAGAGGGAAGGCATGAAAAATGGAAGAGGAGAGACAGGAAAAAGCACACTTAAGCTTAGCCATGATAGGCCAGTGCAAGCTCAAATTAATTTCTGCTAGGGAGCCATATTCTGCTTGTTTTTCTCTTCAAAAACATATCTGGAAAAAAAACTCGCTTGGTTTCTCAGGGGTTAAGATCCTAAACAAACTCTTGAAATTGTAATAAAATCAGTCACAATTATCTCAAGTGATGAAATCAGAAAAGACTCTACATCCACAAATTGTTCTATACCTCAAAAGTATGCCTCATTATAATCACAATGAGCGCTGGATTTTGCATCACCCTGATTTCCATCAAGGAGGAATGCACAGAGAAAAGATCCGCTGGTGTCATCATGTTTTGTCTGTTTTTTTTTTTTTTTTTGAAAGATGCTGTTTGATCAAATTAGGTGACTCATGTCTGTCTGTGCCCACACACTCACCACCGAGGGAAACAGAAGCACTTATACGGTCTGTGGGAATGGAAATGGCTGGAGGGGGAGAGCAAAAGAAGCTAAAAGCAGAAAGAAAATGTGTGAAAGTGGATGTTGGTGCACACTCTTTTATTGATATGGCCCGGTGACAAAAAAGAACCTCATGGGAGACACATTTAACAAGCGGGGAAACAAAGGTACAACATCTGTCTCCTCTCTGCCACCTGTGAGCCCAGGCAATCATATACAGTACATATGCAGCCAAACATTGGAGAGGCACCAAGAGCGGTTTTGGAGAAGGTCCCAGAGTGTTGGAGTCTGCTGCCTTGTTAACATATTTGGCCTTGGTAGAGAAACAGAGCAGCTCTTCTGCTTTGTGTGGTCAACATGAAGGGGAGGCTGTAAGTGATTCAGGCTTTTACAGGAAATCTTGGACAAAAGATCAGACGTTTCAGTCAGAGGATGTATCATATTTGGGGAATAGGCCTTTGGAAGCAATAAAGCATCAAATCGTCTAATCTGCTGCTTTTGTACCCAATTATGTTGCCCCACATAGAGAAACATAAGGACTCACCCGCACCTTTGTTTTCCCCTCTCACAATCAGGACAAAATGTAACTATTATAACTACTTTGAACCTTGGAGTTATTACATGTGTGCCAAAACTTTTAGAGGTCTACCAAATGCCAGTGTGAAGGGGACAAACCTAGGGCTGGGTGATAATCGGAAATTTGCACAATATATCGTTTGAGCATCGACATCGCGATGCACGTGTACGCGATAGTCACACTGCAGAGCCTGCGGTGTCGGAGGCGAATGAACTCATCTAATTTGAAGGGTAGCTGACTGACATAAACTGCATGTGACTCTGCATGTGCTGTTCAGCGATCCACCAATCGTATTCATTCTTTACTTAGTTGCTACCCTGCCAGCCATCAATCAAAATCAGAGAGAAGGAAACCACACTCGTGCACATGGAGTGAGTCACTGGCACTGCCGGTATTGTGCCGAGAAATGCATACCCGCTGAGAATTACTTTCAGAACATTACTCATCACTATTTAGCCCCACAAATACGAATTGTACGGGTTTTAAATTGTACATTTCCGTGGACCACTCTACGATAAGCGGTGCGCATTTCAGAGAGGTGCATGCAATTCTCGGCAGGCATGCGTTTGTCAGCACAACACCCGTGACAACAGCAACGATTGCAAAATGAGAAATGAACAAAAACCACTGAAAAATTAAGACTTGTTGCCAAAAAGAGAAGCAATGTCAGTTATCTGGAATTATTTCGGATACAAGAAGGATGAGGTCGACCAAACACGTGGTCTGTGTCGGCAGTGCCTTTCAGCTGTTGCCACAACGAGAGATAACTAGTCCCAGCACAATAAAAGCAAACTGAAAATATCTCGAAGACAGACAGTGCGATTCATGTCATCTGGAGAAAATTCCTGTATTTTTTAATATCTCATATCGCAGGGTTGAAAAACATTTAAAAGTAAATTTTTTCCAATATCCTGCAGCCCTGACCTAAACCGAAATTTACGACAATAAGCAACGTCATTTTGCCCATGTCAATATATTTGGTGTCAAAAAAATAAATACATAAAAGTTGGTTTTGGAGGTGTGTAGGTAGGCTATGGTGTTATGTCACTTTAAGACGCTGTGCTACATGACTCCTCCCCATCTGGTCCGTAACAAAGAGGGAAAGACAGATGAAGAGATGGAGGACTGTTCAAAAGTTATAGCAGAATTAGTTGTAACAAAGTTAATGTGGGAGGGGGTGAGCAGCTTGTTAAGTAGTTATCATCCATTTATTGTTATTGAGGTGAACTGCTCAATATATTGTGATACTGATTTGAGGCTGTATCTTCCAGCCCTAGCCAAACCCCTCAACTAAGGAGGTCTACACAACAGGAAGGTGATCATGATGTTGTGGCTGTCTGGTGTAAATGCTTCACATTACTGTGGGTCCAAAATATCAGCAAGGAAAACATGCCCCAGACATGTAGCACAAAATGGAGTTAATACATTTTAGAGGAATCACTAATTTAGCATTTTAAAGTCGAAAGATTTGTTGTTTCCTGCTGTTAAAAATAACCCTTGTTGAACAATTTTAATAGGGAAAAGCACTCATAACTAATTGACAGAGGCTGTCCTGTTTATATAATGAATGATAATGAGAGAAATAGATAAATATATAAATGTCTCGCTGAAGGGAAATTCATTAGATTGGTTAAGTCCCATTTGTCTCCATTAGCCTGTCTTTCTATTGCATTAATTAAACCTTATGAGAGACTATATCATCTACTTGCTTTACTCACATATCCGCAGTATTGTGAGCTGCTAAAGCGAGCACTGAGTGGGCGCCAAAAGTTTGTGGTCACATCTGATGCTTTTGAAAATGAGCTCACAGAATTTGCCCTAGTTGGAAAAATGCTTAAAAAATTTGCAAGCAGCATGGGAATGATTCATCATTTCTTACCCAGGGCTTCCACTACAAAAGGAAACGGCATCTTTCTATTCACTGCATGATTTGAAGTGACAGTCACCATGTCCCTTTAGCACGGCTCTCTGAGTCCCTGACTGACTCCGACGGGGCTGACTGTCTGATCGGTCGGCCAAAGTGTGGAGGAGAGCGGGCCAGAGGCAGGGCAGGGAGGCAAAGATAACAGGTTTATCACCAGGTGAGACACACTGAGACAAAGAGCCTTATACCCCTGAAACAGAAGGAAAATTGGCAGCTAATATGCTTAAACTGTCCCCGGTGTTATTGTACACGGCAGGTTTTCATGTTCAGCATTTTTATCATTTACAGGACCTTCACATCAAAAAAAGTATTTCAGCAATCGTTGGTTATCTCAAGATTTAACAGCGGAGGGAAAAACTACATGAGCAAAACACTTTAAAAGCTTTTGCAGAAGCTTATTTATAAATGAAGAGAAATCCATCATCAAATTTTGGCAGGAATTACAAGTAATGGAGTTTTGGGATAACTTGCTCATAACAGAAAAGAACGAATCTCAGACTAGTAGTATGTCCATTTGGTCCAATCCCAATGTTGAAGGTGTCTCAGTGATACACAATAAAGACAGAGTACAGTGTGATGCTTTGTGCGAAGCTAGTGTGCTGTTTTGTCAGTCATTGATGCTGCGGTTTGTTAATGTTAGGGATTTTCTGAGCAGTTAATTTACATTTTTTGTTAAATAACTATTTAAATTACAGCAAAACAAGCATTTTAAACACATGTAAACACTCAAAAGAGTCAATATTGAGCGCAGTGGGTTTACCATGGCCAAATACGGGATCATAGAGTCTGTAGGTGAACAATACCAAACTCGTCTGCTGGATAGCATTTAGGGCTGTCCTGATACGATATTGATATCGGATATCAGTCTGATATCAGCCAAAAAAAAACAAACATTGGATTATATTGGCCTGAATCTAAAATCTCTGATATCAGCACTCCAAAACAAGCAGTCCATTCCAGACTCCATCCCCGGTACCTCTAGCTAGCAGCGCCCGGATCCAGCATGCAGAGCCCACGTGATCACAACAACAGTGTGTACTAAGGTAGTAACAAAGTAGCAAGGAGTAGGAGTGATGTCGGCTGTGTGGCGGTATTTTTCGAAATTCCGAAAAATACATTGCAGCTGAGTGCAAAACTTGTCATGCACAAGTTTGTGCCAATATCGGATCTTTATCGGTATCGGCCGATACTGAAAGCTGCAATATCGGTATTGTATTCAAAGTAAAAAAGTTGTATTGGGACACCCCTGCTAGCATTAGCAGATCTATCACCACCAGCCTTAAGTTATCTTTGCAGGTTTATGTCCCCATATGCATTGCTCCTGTTTAGCGCCAACATGCCAGTTCAATCAATCAGTCACAACAGTCAACATTTAGGTGTGGCACTACAAAACGCCATCTTTCATATGTGCTTATTTGCTCCTGTGCTGATTTAGATGATAAGAGCATGATGACAGTAGTTCTTAACTCGAGCTGTAATCCCAGTTCGTTCATAGACAGAACATATGGCCTGGATTCCAAGGACTACAGTCTGGTCCTCTTCTTTGTCCCACCATTAATTTTATTTCAATGACAATCATTCGGGCTGATACTGATCCTCTGCCCATTTAATCATTTAGTCGATTAAACATGCACATTGCTTGTTCATGCCATTTTTCCCCCCCAAGTCATTAACATTTGGTGTCATTTGCCAGTTTTTTTTTACTATTGTACTGCAACACCTTAGCATTTAAGCATCCTACCCTACCTAATTTAAATACAGCCTGTTCCTGGTATTTGTCTTACCCCTTGGCGTATTATTTGACCCTCCCTGGATAGGCCAGTTTGATGTAAACTCAGCTTCAACCAATGTGAAGCAGCTTTTTTAAACTGCAGTTTGGGTCTTAGTGTGTGCAGGGGCATCACAGCAGTACTAAAAGTAGAGGTGGAGATTCCCACAAATTTAAAATTAAGCCTATATGACTTTCTTTTGTCAGAGGTGATACTTTTAGCCAAGTAACAGCATAACCATGCATTATCCAGTATTTCACACTGAACATTTTTACAGAAAAAGAAGTGTTATGGCTTTCAAATTGGGCAACATGAAGGTCAGTGTGTTAAAAACTGTCATCTGAAAACTCAGTAAAGGAACTAAGCTGAGTCTTTCAAGTTTATCCTATTCTGAGGTGCACTTTGTTCAATCACAAGATCATCTGTAATGGAAACGGCATTGCTCCAGTTCTTCGTCTTCATCCTCATCTTTGTAAACACTTTCCAGGCACTTTTAAAAGGCAATGTCTCCATAATGAAGGCCTGAGGTGAGAGCAAGGATTACACACCTATGGTTTCTGACATTCACAAAGGTCAGCACTTCATCCATCAGCCTCTCTATACACCCACCTATCAGCCAAGGTGTCCCTTTCTCTATCGCTCAATCCATCTCAACCTTCCAGCGTTGCGCTCTCATTCTCCTGTTCCTCAAGTGCTGCTACTGTTACAGTTTAACAGCAACGACAAGTATGATGACAACTTTCAGCACAGGCTGACAAAAACAGGAACAACTCTTGTAAAAATCCCTCATAGCTGTGAGCGAAATCACTTTCATACATCAATGTTTGGCATAATACAGCCAAATATCTGCTGGCATGGTTTTCCAAGACACTCAAAATTTCTTTGAAGCTTTCATTAACAACTCAAGAAATTAAACTGCATGCACACAGCAGTAATAATATTGTAGCCTGAAAACAAAAGCTCTGCATTAATGAGCAAAACTGCAGGAAGAAGTCTGAACAATTTCATACACAGTTCTTCTCTGATTGCATTTCTTGGGTGGAATTGGATTAGAAAGAAATTGTATTTGTGACATAGTGACTGTTGTTTTGCTGTGGAGAAATAGTTATTGACAGGAGGTTGACATGGATTTCCAATATATTTACTGAGACTGAACACTTTTACACCGAGGAAATACTCGTGGAGGGATTGTTAACTGTTATTAATTGATACCATTATTAAACCTGCTTATCAGTCCCAGTCCAAGATGAGACGAGACATTTTTATGAGGACTGGTGTTTCTTAAAATTGGTGATTGGCCTTTTAACACACTTGCCTCTGAACATGCTATAATGTTACCTTATGCCACATATTTTTAATACTGTCGATTTTAACACAGATCTAAGCCCTGGAAAAATATTTCTTAACAAATGTGCCTTGCTACTGGTAATGTGTACATTATGTCAGCCACGTGATGAAACCATAGACTGTTTATACTATGGATAACTTGGCTCCGCCTACCGTGAGTATACAGATTTGAAAAAGCTCTCGGTATTTCCATGTTTTTTCTTCAACATTTTCTCCAAACCAACATTGCGCAGTAGCATCGTACGCATTCAGTGGGCGAGTCGCTGAGAGTCGCTGTGATGATGCTCGGCTCAAACAACCTATCCCCTGGGAGATCTATGCAATCTTCGTACCCCCATAGGCTGTATCAAGTGTCAATCATAGAAAACTTAAACCCCCCAATAACTTTTAAAAATGCACAGAAAAAACAGGACTTGAGCACAAACCAGTCTTACATTAACTACATGTCAACATTGCAAGCAGGGGGGAGAAACATTTATATTCTGTGTAAAATATTTCTAAAGTTTGTCCACAGCTCCATAAGAATTGCTGGAGAAGGCGGGACTTATGACCTATACTGCTTCAGGCTGAGAGGCAATCTCACTGCTTCTTGTTACAGTCCTACTTACCCTGACACATATGTTATTCAATATGCAGCCTTAGACAAAAATACAGCCATTGCATGACCACTGCTTTGGATACATATTTGACATAAAATAATAAACCCACTGCAGGTTTAGAGGAAGATGGTTCTGCATGTTGATGACGGTTTCACCCACTTTTAGTCCTAACTTTCATCTGTAGCCCTGATGTAATCTTGAACAGTTGAACTGTCAAATCATGAACCAGTCGTCCTATTGTTTAATTCTTCTTTTGACAGGGGTGTAAAATAAATCTCACACTGTGAGCCAAAAGCAGACAAAGTGATAGACAACTTGTTGTGATACATTTCTGACTTTTTCTCAAAACACGTTAATAATTTACTCTCTTTCTCAGCAGTGGGCTGAATAACAGGCCCACAGGCAGTAAGTAAACTGTTGCTGCTACTTTGGATGATGCAACGGGGGGATTTTGCCCTGCGGTGCAATACTGAAGTCCAATGGGAGTAACCTGGCGAAGATGACGAAAATATCTTTTTACACATGCCTGCAGCATCTAAGTCAGGTGCTTTAAAGTATGTAGATTCAAGACTGGAGTTATGTGTTTATTTTTCTATTACATTTTTATGGTTGCATTTTGATACTTGTGCAGGAGAACTATGGGTAAAAAGAAGTACATTTTACCAACTTCCAAACAGTACACTCAAACACAGATCAAACATCTGAACGATTATCAATCTGTAAGACTCATACTTTCACAGATTTCTCACATTGTATCATAATTCAATTTCAAATGTAGAGGTAAAATAGGAAAACAGTGAAATAAAAGATGGTAATAAATATGTGCCTCTTAATACATGGCACTTTAAATAATATAGAATGTAAATGTAACACCATAATTAACGGCTAAACAAGCTGAACATTGTTCTGCTAATAAAAAAAAAAAAATCATGTCTCTCACCTCCAATTTTATATCACCCACAGATATCTCTGTGAAACTGTGCGTGCATCTGGTCTGAAGTATGTGTGATGTTTGCAACTTCTCACCACATATTCTTCTTTTTTCATTTATTCTCTTCCTTTTTTTTTTATAGATTCCAGATTTAGAGTGGGTACTGGAGTATGCATGCCTTTATGAAAACTTATTGTTTGTACATCTGGCCCATTGTCTTTGTAGTCAGACAGACTAAACACACACACACATTGTCGCATTTCACTACGATCACAAAAGATGGTGTCACTCCAGATCTATTCAAAAGCACCAAACATGGACTGAATCCATACAAAGACCTGAACTGGCTCACTTTTGTCCCACATCATAATTATAGAAAAAAAGTAGACTAGACCGTAGATTTGGTTTTTAACTTCATCAACCATCAAATCAGCCAGAACCAAACTTCAATGTAACACACACACTCACCAAATAAGAGGAAAAAGTAGTATGTATGCATAAAACAGAAGCTCGTGCTGGATATATAATTCATGAAATGTATTATGCAGCTCAGTGAACACCTTGCTGCACCCACTTGGATGATCTGTGGACACCCCCAGCAGCACTCAGGGGATAACTGTGCATGTGTTAGATGGATGTACAGTCAGAATCTGGTCAAGCAGAAGTGTCAAGTCTGTCACCCACTTGCGGTGTTTGAATTGAACACAAAGTGCAATATGACAGGCACATCGTGTTGTGTTTAGTTGTTGAGGTTGCCTTAAGTTGACTTAAAGCGTGTGAATATGTGCCCTTTTTCTGGTGTGATCACACAACCTAAAAAACTCCTGTTTTCAAGGTTTGTTACAACAATTTAGATGAGCAGTTAGTGGATCATTTAACATCGTTTGGTATGCAGAAGACCAGTGTAAAAATGTTTAACAGCCTGTTAGAGGGAAGAGGAGTGGAACTTTTTGTGCTTGGTAAAAAAATAAAAGGTAAAAGGGGGAAATTAGCTCTCAAAGAAGACAGACTGGGAAACAGAATTCTTCACCTCAAACCCAATTGACCACTGGGGTTGGGTGCCATTTCAATTTCAATGTCCTCATTTCCTTTTCCAGTTCTTGTTATTGATTCCAGTTTTTTATTCAGAATCCTTGAAGTATGGAAGGTGAAAACTAATCAACAACAAAAGAACAAGTATTAACCTGCCTGTATTGTTGGGACACTTGTGTTGTCAAAAGTAAACTGGGATGAACAGCAGTTGTTGTTATCATTCTGGTCATGTTGACTTTATGGATTGTCTCAAACTTTCGACTGCTTGCTTGGACTTCACTGTGATTCTCCTCTCACGACTTGTTGACACACTATTTCATAAATTATACCTTGTTGTGTCAGCAGAGCAGGTCCTGGCAGAGCGATAACCTCCATGGACCCCAAAGTTTCCACTGGGGTGAACCACCTCACAGGCTTATATTGCTGGAAGGAACCGAAAAAGTGGAACTGAAATTCATCTGCCTTATTGAATCCTAAAATTTTAAAAACTTCGAACCAGTTCCAACTTGGCACTGGTTCTCGATACTCAAGCCTACTGGCTGCATCAACCACACTTCTCTTATCTCTACTTTGTTTGCAGCTACTCAAAGCTTTCAGCTCAACAACATATTCTCTCTGAGCATAGGCCTGTTTTTACAATGCAGTAAACACAAACCTGGAACCCCTGATAATGGTGTTTTTTTTGCCAAGAGACAACAAAGAAGAAGATTTCATACCCAGCATTTGCAAAAGAAATGTTCTTTCGAGCCTTGGTGCTTGTGGGCTGACAGTTCACCGTTGGCGGCTACATATAGTCTCTTGCCACCCCTTACACTCACCTATAGTATCATCCAGAGAGTCCACCACAGTCATGTACCTATAATTAATTATTAACGTGAACTTTTCACATTTTGAAGTTTATTAAAGTTAGAAACACAAAGCTGAACCTCTACTGCAGTGTTCACACTTGCATACCAGCTGGTTTGACAATCAAAGTTAAGCTTACAAATGTTTCAGCGTGTCTTTTTTAGTGTCTTCATTCACACAGTGTCCCATTTATGTAAATTACATCCAATTAAAAGAGAACATCCACTGCTTAAAAAAAAACCCTGCTTGCTATATTTCTGTCTCTTCCTGTAACCCTTCTGTCATCTCTCTATCACTGTAGTCCTTTCTTATTCCCCCTCACTCTCAAATCACACCTGCTCCTGTTGCTCGCTCCTCTGAGGATTCCTGCGCCTGATACTGATTTACAAACCCACTCAACATAAAACACCACACTAATTTTAACAGAAATGTAAAACCTGAGGTTGTGAAAGCAAGTGGTCACCAGAGGCAGAGTGCAGTGGGCTAAGTTGCAGCATGTTAACTCACACTTGAATGCTTTGCTACCGTTTGGCTGCATTTGTGTTTCCAGAACAGCCTCGGGCTAAATCGTTCCCATATTGACACGTTGTGCTCATGGCTCCTCTGGTGTTTTAAAACCATATCAGATTTCTGCCTTTCATCTAGTAGCTGTGGAAAGAGTTTTTTTTTTCTTGATAATAAGAAAATCAGAGTAGTACTGAGGAAAAAAAGCACCAAATGAAAAAAAAAATTATAAGGGTGCTGCAATAAAGTAGCAAAGAGAACAGCTTGGTCACAACTGTAATTAGAACTCCACTCCACTTGTTTTGCCAAATTTAATGAAATATAGCCTTTTGATAATTGGGTGGTTGGGCTTTTCCCCAATCATTTTGAGATTCTCTTTTTCAATAAATCCTTAAAAAAAATATCCCCCTTCAAACAAGATGCATCTACCTCAATAACTTAAAGCTATAACTGTTTCGTTCTTAGTTTGCAGACACCCAACTTTTGGCTTTCTCTATCCTGAAATACTGTTAAGTGCTGCTGCCTTCCCTCAGCAAGAAAATACTGTACACCAATAACTCCAGACGGTCCTCCTGAGTGTTTGATGTACACTCCTACTAAAAAAAAGAAATAAAAAACCCTCTTTGTTATCAAGATGTTAAAACCTGAAACCGCTCCACTGAAAAGAGATCGGGAAAGCTGCCAGTCGGTTTGGAAAAGCTTCATTTATCCACTGACTCAAGTTTGTTCTGGATATAGAAGAGAGTTTTTTCTTTGTTTGTTTCTACTTACAAACACTATTTGATCTGTACTTGACACATGAACAATAAAACAGGCCTTCATCTTGACCACAGGTACTAAAAAAACTCTTAACATGTCATGCCATTGCATGATAAGTCATTGATATGTCTGACTGGGTATGTCTGCACTTTCAGCCCACCCTGGAAATAAAGAGTTATATAACAGAGTGGGTTTAATACAAGACTAAAAAAAAAGAGCTAGCCCTTGTGCACTGGTAAATGTATAAAGCCTCTGGAAGAATCCTGAGACGTATTTCACACCAGTTTGGGATTTTTGTCACAGTGTCCCATTGACACCATCTTTAATCATCTTTAGTCTTTATCCATGAAACCTTATTTCTCCTGCCCCAGAGCCACAGATAGCCTGCCTGTCTGGTCACAGAAACTGTGTGAAAATCAAAAGCGATTTTGCTCTTATCCTGTCTGGACACCAAAGTGACAGACAAGAAGGGAGCCTTTTCTGGGAAAATTCAACACAACAGAATGAGCAGAGCTGCATGAAATCCAATCAAAACTAACTACAGCTGGCTCCCTGTTGCCTACCTAAGTCCAGCCACTTTACCGGGGATCTGTACAGCAATGGGATGCTTTCAACAGGGATGCAGTTGAATGGAACAATGGCCTGTTTATACGAAAAGAATTTGAAGTTTATCATCAACATAGTTTTGTTGAACTCTTGGGAAATGGTTTAACAAATTTATTTCTTCCCTATAAGTATTATTTTGATTTTAAGAGGTGGGGGGTGGGGGGTGGGTATGGTGCATTTCCACATTTACAACAAAAACTGCAAAGTTACAAAGTTTGGTGTCCGTACTAGATGTACAGTGCCCAGCATAAGTCAGTACACCCCCCATTAAAAGTAATGTATTACTCAATATCTAGATGAGCAAAAGTACAATTTCCAACATAACATAACATTTTTACCATAAGATGAAAATAAGGGTGATATAGTAACTAAAATTTAGCTTTGCTCCCAGAACTTTGATTGTGGTGTACTCATTTTTGCATCCTGGTTTTAAATTGAAAAAATAAAACTAAATACTTTCTTTATGCAAATTAAAAAATCTTGTGTGCAATCAATGGCCTACATTTGGGGGAGTATTTTGTTGTATAGTCTGACATAGAAAATGTTGATTTTGAAAGGAAACTAAAGGTTTTCTGACAACTCTGAAAGGGCGTACTCATTTATGCTAAACACTGTATATAAAGTTTCAAATTATGAGGTAAATGTGTGTCGTCGTAATCTTAGAAAGTAGATATAAACTACTTGAATCTCGGACAAATGCACAAAAATGAAAGACTGTAGTTTATGTGCAAGATTTACAAAAACATTACAAAGACATTACATTCTGACAAGAGCAGGGATTCAAACATATAGCCTTTGCAGATTCAACACAATCTATACATCTTAATGAATATCATGTGTTTGAATCGAGACTTACTGGAATTAGATTATGGGGCCTGATTGCTGCAGCAGGAGCGGGCAGACCAACAGACCTTCAGTAGGTCCAAATGTTAATGTTCATGACAGCATTAACTTTCATTTATTTTCAAATAGGTTTTCTCAGGCAACCTGCATGGCTTGGCACCATCTCCTCATCCAGATATGAGGTAACAGTGTATCCGGATGATAACGTCTGTCACTTTCAGCACTATCAGTGTCGTATTTGGCAACTTAGACAAAAGCTTCACTGACTCCAAGCTGTCGCCTGACACCCACATGAGCTGCTCAATCGCTCTGTGCTGGAAAAGGCAGCAGCTTTGCCTTGATAGTTCAATGATAACTTGCTAGGTGGCACCACAGATATGATGGGGTTTTTTTTGTTTTACGGGGATCTTTATGGAGTAGATTTTACAAATCGCCTCATCGAAATTAGATGGTTTTTATTTCTTATTTGGCTTAAAGTCAAAACGTTTCCAAAGGACCGATGTCAAATTCAGTTTCAGTACCAGTACAGCTGCCTGTTTCCATCTGAATGTGAGTTGGGATGAGGTGAGATCATGTGGTCGTGACAGTGGTCTACTTACTCTGTGACTGGCTTGTTAATATCAGTTTTACAGTTTCTGTGACCGCCATATGTCTTACTGCCTTACAGAAGTCAGCAGACCTCTCTGCTTGTTGGCAAACTTATTTGCATTACCTTCAAAAGACTTTGATGGAGTAGAAAAACAGACTACAAAGATGTCATTTAATCAGTTGATTGAAAGTGTTACTGGGGCTACAAGTCCCAAACACATATAGGAACATATTTATAGAGAGCATCCTCATTACTTTTGACAGTATGAGGTCTTATCTGCCACAGGTGGTAAAGTTTCCAAAAGACTGCACTTGACCTTAGACCATCACTCGTTTATAATATACTTATGTTTATAACTCTTTACCTCAGATATACTCTTCGCTTTGTTTTTTCAGTTCTGGCTCAAATGCCAGCATCAAAACAAAGTGAACATCTTGTACCTCAACATGACAACGGAGTCAAGGTGATGGAGCAAATCCTCAGGAACTTATTAGGAGTCTTTGTCTTCAAGGTGACAACATGGCAAAGATACTTGAGAGCCATCCTTGATACGTTATGACTTAAAAAAAAACCCTGATGTATGAGAACCAATTTTAAAAGTCAAGGCTTAATGTCAGACAACTAGACTGCTGTTCTTTCTGCTGCTTCCCAGTCTTAATTAAAGGCTTTTCTGTGCTTTTCTTTCACTGATGTAAGTTTTTTTTACTAACAGTATTTTTCTTAGTACTTCTGGTGTAATGGCCATACAATCCAATTCAAACTCTGCTTTATATGCAACATGAACACCTTTAATGAAACACCATACAAAATGAAAAGAAAATCAACCTGACAGCATTATTGTTGCTCACTTTTTTTTTAAATTCTTGTCAAACAGAGAGGTTCAATTAGAAGCTGGGAAATATCCAGTGACTGCAAAAGACTACTTTAGCTTTGGTGGATTAATGTGGTACAGTTTGAGTGAATTTCAAAGATATTTGCCCCTTGCAGGGAAAAGGTTAGGAGAGGACACTTTCAGAGACTATCAAAATAAATTGGGAGAAGAAGTTAGTGGGGGGGTGAGGATTAAGCTACTTAGTGTCCCACACAGTGTTGTACATTACCAGCTGAACCCAGTGCAAGGTTGGAACAGGTCCGCCTTTATAATTTACAGTGGGGCTGCCTCAGCATGTAAATGCGACTCCCTTGAGCTCGCCGACAACTTTTATTTCCCATTCAAGGAGAACTCTACTGCAGCAACATGGTGGCACTCCTCTGGAATTAAAAGCAAATCCTCTTCCTATATCAGGTACAGCATGCTACTCTAAGCAGTGTATGGACATATGCACATATATCACACATAGGTATGTGCAACCTGCAACATCACAACAACAACAACAGTTTTAGAGCAGCATAAGTGAACTCTCCAGGGACACGTGGTTCTGAGTAGGGCTGTCACGAAAAAAAAAAAAAAAATCATCTCATGGTTGTGGCCACAAAATATCACGGCAACTGTATTATTGCAATATTTATGAAAATCTTGAAGCAAAAACATGTTGTGAATATTGCAAGTCTAAAAATTTTACTACTATTCACTTCCATGTTTTCATCCATTTCAAATTATTATCAAGTTTAGGACTTATCTACACTACTGTCTGTGTAACTAAAACTACCTCAGAGAAAAACATTGCTTCTTTAAACAATTGCTTGGCATGCTTTATTAGGGCCCGAGCGTAGCTGCTAAGCAGCTGCGAGAGCCCTATTATTCCTGATGGATTCTTCTTTCTTCTTCTTCTTATTAGGGCCCGAGCCAGCTGCAGAGCAGCCGGGCGTAGGCCCTATTATTCCCCAAGTGGTTTTTCTTTGTTTCTTTCTTTCTTTTTTCTTTTTCCTCCCCTTTGAACTGGAAAATGGCCCACTTCCCACTGGCGAAAACTCATGAAATTTGGCAGGACGACCGGGCCTGGTGAAAAATTTGATATTCTGAAGTCGCCAAAACAATAAAATGCAAAATGGCTCCATAGCGCCCCCTAAGGTGAAAATTCACACTATTCACTGTCACGACTGTACGCTTTGTCAAAATGACACAAAAATTGACACACACATGTATCTCAATAAGATCTACAAAAAAGTCAGTGCGGCCGTATCTGTCAAAATTACGGTTAAAGGGTTATTTCGCATTTTTTGCCGATCTGCACACATTGGAATTTCGCTAACTCCTCCGAAGGCTTTCGTTCCACCGGCACTACATTTGCTCAGGCCAATCTACACCCCATGGCCATTAAAAGTTATCAAAATCATGACGCTGCACCCCACGGTTTAGGTTCTAGGGGGCGCCAAAGATAACCCTAAAATTCACATATTTAAAAGTCTTATAACTTTTTATTTTTGTCCTCACTGGCCTCCAAGTTTTCTAGGATGATGCAATGTCCAGCCATCAACACATTTGTGAAGGAAGTTTTACTCCCCAAAAGAGCGCCCCCCCATGGCAGGAGAAAAAAGTCCATTTTTTCTTGTCCCCTAAGGTGAAAATACATATTGTTGAGATTCACGCCTATACGCTTTGTCATATTGACACAAAATTTGACAATCACGTGCCTTGCCTGGTATCATTTTTTTCAGCACAACCTCACCTGTGCGAATTTACAGTTATTTTATCATGTTGACATACTGAATTTACACAATGGACCCAAATTCACACACAAAACATAAAATCCGAGTGGAAAAAAGTAACATTTTTACTGTGAAAACCACAAATATGTGTGATGAACTGTTTTTAAAACTTAAACTTCAAATAAAAATTGTAAACTTCAAAACATATGCAAATTTTTAACAAAGAACATAGTGATTTACCTCTATTTACATCAAAATGCAGGCAATGGCCCAGGCGTTCTTTGTAAAATTATTTACAAAACACTGTATAGTCTCACAAATGTCACTTTTTATTTATGCCACTACAAAAAAACATGATGTAAATGATGCATGATGTAAAACATGATGTAAAAAACTTGTGTAGATCCTCCTGTATGTCAGTCCATGTGTAATTTTTCCATAATTCTTTGTTTTTTGCAGCATTTTTGTTAGTGTAACTGCAGATTGTGCTGACAGTGTCTATGGCACAAAAAAAAAAAAAATTAAAATGCCTCAACATGAACCCCTGGTGGTCTCTGAGGGTGAAACCTGCTAACTGCTGCAGCTCTGTCAGCTTCAGTCTCCCATGCAGAGCTCTGAGCGCATGTGTGGCTCTGCACCCTTAGCAGCGTTGCTAACTCCTCAGTAAGGAAAGCCTGCTTCATGTCAGAGTCTCTAAACTCCAGAAGAAGTCGATAAAAGTCCATTTCTTTCTAAAAAAAAGTCATTAGGGGGTCTGAAAAGTCATTGAATCTAACAACAAAGTCGCTAGGTTTGCAACTACGTGTCCCAGACTGCATCCCTCCTGAGAGTCCCTCCCTCCCTTCTCATGTTGCAGGAAGAACGTAAGCGCCCGCCCCTTGTCAATCAGTCACCATATAATTTTGGATTGGTTGTTGTGGTGAAGTTTTCCACCAATAGGAGAGATGTTGTGGTGTGTTTTTTTTTTCTTTTGGCAAGCCTTTTCCGCCTGTAAGAGCTGTCGCTAATGTCTGCATGCTATGTTTTCCTGTCTCATACAGCGCGATCGAGCGCCGAACGTGATCAAAATAAGCAGAAAAAAAGTATCGCGGACATAATTTATCATAACTCTGGTTTTATTTGGCCTATCAACACAATTTAAAAACTGGTATATAGGTTGAGGTCCTCACTTTTCAGATAAGTTGAAACGGAGAGTCAACGAGGCTCCGTCTTGCAGCTACATCCGGTTAAATATGTCATGTGACTTGAACGCACACACAGACACACACACGCACACACACACACACACACACACACACACACACTCAGAGTCTGGTTTTTAGCACCTGCAAAAACATGCTATTTACATATTTGACAAGAATGCAGAGGCTCCTTTTGCCCCTGAAAAAAATCAAATTTCAAACACAACTTGACTGGTCATTTCTCCAAAAGACAACCATGAAGCTCCATCCAAACCTGAAGCAGGCAGTTGGTGCATGTGTACAGTAACCTGAGGGGAGTGAGGTGAGTGCTTCTGAGGAGAACATGAGCAGTGAAGATTCACCTTGGAGCTAGAACAGAGACATGCACATGATTATACAGGGGCAGGGGCTCAAGTTTTTTCCAGTCGTTTATACAATATGGAAATTAATGTGAAATTAAAAAACAAAGTATTAATAGAAAGGTAATGACTGTCCTGTGTAGGTGACAGTGATATCCAATAGGCTAGGCACTCACGAGGCTGGCTGTGGCAAGTGTAAGTGAAAGCAACACGCACTGGCAGGAAGAACAGCAAACGCCGATGAAGGAAAAGGGTCTTTGCAGTGATGGGCGTTACCAGAGAGGGCGATGGCCAGAGGACACAAATGGGACGGGGAGGCAGCACGTTGGGGGGGGGACGCGACACGGCTCGGGCCCGCCAGTGCCCCAACGGGGTCCTAGTTATTTTTCTGCCCCTTTGAACTGGAAAATGGCCCACTTCCCACTGGTGAAAAGTCATGAAATTTGGCAGGACGACCGGGCCTGGTGAAAAATTCGATATTCTGAAGTCGCCCAAAAAATCAAATGCAAAATGGCTCCATAGCGCCCCCTAAGGTGAAAAATTCACATGATTGAGTGTCACGCCTGTACGCTTTGTCAAAATGACACAAAATTTGACACACACGTGTATCTCAATAAGATCTACAAAAAAGTCAGTGCGGGCGTATCTGTCAAATGTACGGTTAAAGGGCTATTTCGCATTTTTTGCCGATCCGCACACATTGGAATTTCGCTAACTCCTCCGAAGGCTTTCGTTCCACCGGCACCAAATTTGCTCAGGCCAATCTACACCCCATGGCCATTAAAAGTTGTACAAATCATGACGCTGCATCCCACGGTTTACGTTCTAGGGGGCGCCAAAGATAACCCAGAAATCCACATTCTTAAAAGTCGTATAACTTTTTATTTTTGTCCTCACTGGCCTCCAAGTTTTCTAGGATGATGCAATGTCCAGCCATCAACACATTTGTGAAGGAATTTTTACTCCCCAAAAGAGCGCCCCCCCATGGCAGGAGAAAAAAGTCCATTTTTTCTTGTCTCCTAAGGCGAAAATTCACACTATTGACTGTCACGCCTTTACGCTTTGTCATATTGACACAAAAATTGACACACACATGTATCTCAATAAGATCTACAAAAAAGTCAGTGCGGGCGTATCTGTCAAATGTACGGTGAAAGGGCTATTTCGCATTTTTTGCCGATCCGCACACATTGGAATTTCGCTAACTCCTCCGAAGGCTTTCGTTCCAAAGGCACCACATTTGCTGAGGCCAATCTACACCCCATGGCCATTAAAAGTTGTACAAATCATGACACTGCACCCCACGGTTTACGTTCTAGGGGGCGCCAAAGATAACCCAAAAATCCACAGTCTTAAAAGTCTTATAACTTTTTATTTTTGTCCTCACTGGCCTCCAAGTTCTCTAGGATGATGCAATGTCCAGCCATCAACACATTTGTGAAGGAATTTTTACTCGCCAAAAGAGCGCCCCCCCATGGCAGGAGAAAAAAGTCCATTTTTTCTTGTCTCCTAAGGCGAAAATACACATTGTTGACTGTCACGCCTTTACGCTTTGTCAAAATGACACAAAATTTGACACACACATGTATCTCAATAAGATCTACAAAAAAGTCAGTGCGGGCGTATCTGTCAAATGTACGGTTAAAGGGTTATTTCGCATTTTTTGCCGATCCGCACACATTGGAATTTCGCTAACTCCTCCTAAATCTTTTGTCCCATCGGCTTCAAATTTGCTCAGGTCAATCTACACCCCATGGCCATTCAAAGTTGTACAAATCATGACGCTGCACCCCACAGTTTACGTTCTAGGGGGCGCCAAAGAGGACCCAAATATCCACATTTTTAAAAGTCTTATAACTTTTTATTTTTGTCCTCACTGGCCTCCAAGTTTTCTAGGATGATGCAATGTCCAGCCATCAACACATTTGTGAAGGAATTTTTTCACCCCAAAAGAGCGCCCCCCCATGGCAGGAGAAAAAGTCAAGTTTTTCCTGCCCATCGCTCAATGGCTCAAAGGCATCGCTCTCTCTGCAAAACCGAAAGGAGGAGCAACTTGCCATTTGGATATATACTAGCTGTGTTTGTGCCCTCACTCATGGTCCAGACTTTTTTCAAATAGGACATGTAGTTTGTCTGCAGCGAGCGTTTTGGTAGAAACTGCGCCTCCCATTCATTATAATGGGAAATGACCACAGACAAGTGCGCACACCATCTTTG